CACACACACACACACACACACACACACACACACACACACACACACACCAGGTTGCTGCCCATCCGGCCCTGAGTTGTACAGCGAGAATGTTACCTTTGACATGGTAGATATCTCCAAATTCTGGGATTTTGCTTAAAACTTTGCAGCGTGCTCCTGAAAGAAAAGAAAGACAGAGGTACGGAGCTGTCCCTGGCCTGCTAACATAGCCACCATGTTCCCCCTCTTGGAGGACTCCAGTTACACCCGAGGGCCAGTTTCAGGCCTGGGGCTGGTGGATGCAGTGCCATGGACTTCAGTGGAGTTGCAGCTGTTTACAACAGCTCTTGGCTCTCGAAATCGCTGTCGGGGTTTGCATGGAGCACTCACTCCAACGAGGGTGGGTAAGATAGTGGTGACAAGCCAGCAGGCCCTGGGCCCTGTCCTGTAGTGGTGGGAGCAACCTCAAGTCAAGGCACTGAGATGCAATGGTGAGGTACATAACTGAGCTGTCTGCCCTGCATGGGTATCAGTACGCAGTCCCCCAAAGTCTGGTCCCAGAGTACACTGGGACGCCAGGCGGGGTACCTGGAGGGGATGTCCCCAGAACCCTGCACCTGGCGCTTGCCCCCCGCAGCGGTGTTGTGTCTGCGCACACTTGCCCTCTCCTAGGAACAGGCGACTGGTGCCAGGTCTGCAGCCGACTCACTGCAGTTGGGAAACGCTAGCGTCCGCCGGCGGTGTGCAGATTGCATGTCCTTGCGGGAGGCCCCGTCAGTCACACAAGGTGAGAAGGGACCGCCAGGGTCAGCCTGTCTAACCCCCTGCCAAGAGGCTGGGTTTGTGGTGTCTAAACCATCCAAGGCAGAGGGCGACCCAGCCGCCTTTGGAAAACCTCCAGCGAAGGCACTTCCACAACCGCCCAAGGCGTCGGTTCCGCTGTCCTTACCGGTCGGAAGTGTTGCCTGAGATTTTAATCTAAATCTGCTGTGCTGTAGTTTGAACCCGGCGCCTCTTGTCCTGCCCTCTGTGGCAAGAGAGAACAACTTTCCTCCATCTGTTTTCATGGCAGCCTTTCAAATATTTGACGACCGCTCTCATGTCCCCCCTTTGCTCTCCTCTTTTCCAAACTAAACATGCCCCGTTCCTTCAGCCTTTGCTCAGCTGCCTTAGTCCATCCCTTCCATCAGCTTCCTCGCTTGCCTCCGGATCCTCGCCAGCTTCTCTCCCTACTGCATGGCTGATCAAAAAAGATTTGGCCAAGATTTCCACAGGGGAGTGCCTGATGCCACGCTCCTACATGCATACTTAGGCACCTACGTAAATGGGTCTCAAAAGTGACGAGTGCCCACCAGTTCCCACTGGCCACGCTGGGCGGCACCGGGTTGCATTAGGGGGGCTGGGAAGGTATGGTCCCATGGCCTACGCCGTTGCCCTGTGCGTTGCATAGGCCAGGATTTGATCCTCACAGTTTAAGACACATCACATGCTTCCCCTCCTTTACCCCAGGGGACGTGGGCGTGCAGGCAGGATCTCTGCTCCCCAACAATTTGGCTGGGGTTTACTCATCAGCCGCAGGCTAAAAAAGCCAACACGCCCTGTGTTTTAAGGAGCTCGTCTTTTCCCTCATGTCAGCATCTTCCTTGGAGGGGGACAGGTCCTTAAATTGGAGGGGTAACCGCAGCCTGTCTGGAAGCAACGCCCCCCATTTGCAGAGCACGCCGTGGTGCCTTCTGCTCCCTCCACCCTTTGGTCCCCCAAAGGAGGCTGGGGGGCCGAGAGGAAAGGCAGCTGGCACGTGGCACAGAGAGAAGGTGGCCCATGGCCCTCCGCTAGGGTGACCCGACAGCAAATATGAAAAATTGGGACGGGGGTGGGGGGTAATAGGAACCTATATAAGAAAAAGACCCCAAAATCGGGACTGTCCCTATAAAATGGGGACATCTGGTCACCCTACCCTCCGCTTCTCTGGGTAAGAGCAGTGCCTAGGGGCTAGCACATCACGCAGGACCCAGGCTCTGCTAGAGAGTGCAAAGCCCGAAGAAGGAAGCTGCCTTTCCCCTGACGCCCCTCCCTGGCGGTGATGCTGGGTGGGGGGTAGCAAGTGGCTCTGTGCCACTTTTCCCAGTTTCAGGCCAGTTCTACACAAAGGACTTGGCCGGGGTCAGGGCCACTGCACATCCTGAGAGCGTCCCAGATCGGACAGCAAGGGAGCGCCGTAGGAGTGCCGGCGTCCCCGCAGCTAATGCCAGGCTGAAGCACAGCGTCAGGGCAAGCTGCTGCTGGGCTGTAGAGCACGTGCTGCCCGGAAGAGGGGCTCCAGCTCACACCCAGAGAGAGCCCGGCCGCACAGGTTTGCTTTTAGGTTATAAACGCGAGAATCTTGGATCCCCCCTGGAACATTTCACGGCGGTCCCTGCTCCCACGCCTCACTCAGCCCCCTCTGCCCCTACACGGCTGCCCCCCGCCTGCTATGTTCCCCCTACTCCAGCGCCGCTGCACGGGGCATAAGGCTGAGGACTAACCAGTCGGTCGCTTGCAGGAGCCAGTGGCCCCGGGTGAGAACTAACCATCCAGTCCAGCTTGTCCGGCCACATTTCACTGGGCACAGCCAAGCGTCCCAGCTACTCTGCCCCATCCAGGTGAGGATCTCCAAGCGCTTCACAGAGCATAGCCTCACACACTGGCGTGGAAGATCAGTATGGTTCTCTCCTGGGGAAACTGAGGTCCAGAAAGGGGAAGTGACTTCCCAAAGGTCACGGGGGAAGCCTCAGTCTCAGCCCTATGCCCTAAGCACCCCGCCATCCTTCCTCCCAAGCAGGCGGAGGAGAGGCACTCAGGTAGCCCTACAGGTTCCCCTGCTCCCATCACCTGTCGCCTTCCATCTGCTCCCGCTTGGCAGGGAGCAAACGTTCTCCCTGTAACATCATCCCTCGGGGCTGCGGCAGCTCCACTCTCCCCAGCTCCAGCTTAGCCGGTTGCAGAGACAGACTCACCTGCGACCGAGCTCCACAGTGCGAAGAGCAGAGCCCACTGGAGCGCCCCCATCCTCGCAGCTCCCTGCTCAACCTGCCCTGGGCTGCAGCCGTCTGAGCAGCAGCTCCAAGCACCCCCTTTAAACGGTGCTGGCAAGACCAGGAACTCAGGGAGCCAATGGCCACAGCCAGGCCCTGCCCAGAGGAGGGGAAGGAGCCTGTCTTTGCAAACAGCTCATTTGCTGGTGCCTCCACTGCTGGGAAGGGTGGATCGGGCAAAAGAGGGAGGAGTGGGGAGGTGAAATGAAAGGGCGAGAGCGGATCCTAGCTCCGGCAGGGAGAAGAGCGGAGGCATGGAGGGGAGCAGCGAGCAGAGGACATGAGTGCTCAGTGCTGCAAGGGGCAGTGGGTGCAAGGGTGGGAGGGTGAGTCAGAGCAGGAGTGGGGGGGCCAGACGGGGCCTCGGTGGTGGGGCAGCCCTGCTACAGACAGGCCTGGCAACGCGTTTGCAGGATTGAACTTGCTGACTCGGCTTAGCAGCCCTGTTGTGCCCGTGGGGAGCGGGGCTGCAGGTCAGGCCTGAGGGGCGTTGGCAGAGCTGTGTGGGCCCAGGACTGGAAGAGCAGGGGGCTGCGGAGCAGGAGCGAGGGGCGGGAGGAAGCCAAGGAGGCTGTGACTCAAGACCAAAATTCCAGGCACCTCCTGCAGCCCCGTGCAGCCTTTCCTGCCTCCGAGCTGGGCCAGGCGTCTCTTGCAGCAGGCTCATTTCGGCACGTGGGCCGATCGGCTCCAGAGCCAGCCGGCCCGGCCCCTAGAGCCTGGGTCAGACTGACTCACACCTGGGCGCTTCAAGCTGCTTTTCCAGCCAGCTTAGACCTGTCACGAAGGTCTTCTCCCCCATCCCCCCTGGTCAGAATTTCACCTGCCACGTCAGGTGTTCAAGCCCCACTCTGGGGTCTGGGGGAAGGTGACGCGACTCATGCTGGGGGGTGACTTTAATGCAAAGTAAAACTAGTTGATCCTAGTCGAGACCGTAGATGATTGATGTGGCCACTAAAGGCAACGGGCCTGGCCCAGAACAAGGACCCCCCACAGCTGCTGGGCCAAGGCAAGACCAGGCAGGCTAGGGAAGGGTCCCGGGGGCTGCACCGCGTGCCAAGGAAGACCAGGAGGGAACAGAGCACTCAGCAGAAATGGCAGCTCCCCCTTATGAGCCTGCAACAAGGCCCTTGTTCTCTCCGCGTGTGCAGGGCCTAGGCTGCCTGCTGTGGGAACGCAGCCGGTGGGAATCTTAGGCACCAGGGAGAACCCATGACTGAGAAATCAGGCAGGACTATCGGGTCTGGCTCTGTGCGGGAGAGGCCAGGGATGGACGCTCCAGAGACTGGCAGAGGGGAAAGAGCAGAGGCCCAGGGAAGCCTGGTGGCCTGTGCAGAGCTGGGCAGGACCCAGCCCCGCAGGGGGCCGGGGTGGGGAGAGGCATCGCAGCCCCGAGATCAGGGTGATGGGTGTGTCCGTGAAAGGGCCAGAAAGGACGAAAAAGACCTAACGCTGCTTTGTGTTCATAAACCAGGAGGGCGCCTGGCATTGGAATGGCAGCTGTGTGGGGGCTGCATGACGGTCGTCAACTGGCTTCACAAATGAGCTTCTCCCTCCCCAAGGCTGGGGGCCAGGACTGAAGGAGGGTCGGCAGGAGTCACTGCAGCTGGAAGTAAAGAGCCAGGCCCGCCTCCTCTATGGCTGGGGCACGCACGACATGCACTGGCCCGGGGCTCACATTCCTGTGCCCAGCCGGAGGGGAAACTGAGGCACAGTAGCACATCCAGACCCAGAGGGGACAATGGCCAGTTGCTCTCTTCTGATTGGGTGGTGTAGCGGGGCTGAAAGCAGCTGAGGGAGGCTGATTGGTTGGCAGCCGCAGGGGTGGCCGCACCCAATTAGGGTCCAGCTGGCCCTGATAAACGGGCTGGGAGCTAGGCAGGGGGAGTCTCACTCCAGTGGTGGCGGGGGAAGGACCTGGCTGGGGAAGGGTATCTCAAATAGAGCAGTGCTGGGGAAGGACAGGCAGAGCTGGGGAGCTCTGGCCAGGTGAGAACCAGGGCTGAGGCCAGACTAAAAGGGCCTGCGGGGGTACTGAGGCTGCAGCGGTGCAGCCAGGCCAGGAAAGGTCAGCAGGATCCAAACCCGTGGGCAATGCTGAGTGGCCACTTCAGACTGCAGTTTGCCCCTGAGGGAAGGGGCTAGATGAAGACTGGCAGTCGGTCACTGAGGCAAGGTGGGCTTTAGGGAATTGGGGTCCCCAGGGAGAGGAGGACCCCTGAGTGTGGGGTATTGCCGGGGGCAGTGCCCGACTGAAGGGGCACAGAGGTGCCGGGAGGGACGTGGGGTCTGAACTAAAGGGTGGTCCTAGAAAAGGGAGAAGCAGGCCAGCAGGAGGCGCGCCGAAGCTGGAAGAGCTAATTCCCAGACCAACCAGCAGGAGGCGCCGCGGCAGCGAGTGCTCCGCCTTGCTACAGGTGGACACGGCAGTTCCTCCAGTGATGTCAGAATGGCAGCCAATCGCTGCTGTCTGCCTCTAGGCGTGGGAGTGAGGGTCGTCCCCCCTTGGCAGGGCCGACTGGGTACCATCTCCCCAGCAGCTCATGGCCATGCCCCTGGGTGAACGTGCCAGCCTTCTGTCTGGGTCTGAGTCGGGCCCCTGCAGCACCCGCATCCCTACATCCACCTGGGAGAGCCATATCCCCCGCTGCCCTATGGAACGGCCGAGTGAGCCCTCGCTGGGCGTGCCAGGCTGGCTGTGAGTGATCCCGCGAAGCCACCACGTGTCACGCCCAATAGGTCCCATGACTCCCTGTTGAACTCCCAAAGACCTTTCAGACCCCGCGGCTCCGGTGCCAGAACTCCGCCGGGAGGCGGTTAGTGCAACAGGCTCTTGCCTTTTGTCTCCTCGCTGACACGCTAACCCTGACCCAGACTGCAGCCCGTCAGCACTCCGGTGCAGGGTGATTGTCGCCACAGCCGAGGCAGCTGATGCCGAATGAGGAAGCCGGGCCAGCCTCGGCGCTGGGTCTCATGCAAGTGTCTGAGGTGGAACTGCAGCCTCCTCTCCACAATCTTGTGCAGAGCAGCCCGTGGTGACTGGGTCAGTGATAAGAAGTTGCAAGTGGTTAGCTGGGTTCCGGCTCGATGCATGCTTCCCCACCCCCCACCCCAGCCAGGCAGTCTTCCAGGCGGTCCTCCATGGCTCACTGAGCGGTGCGGCTCCCGGACGGGCAGCCAGCCAGGGGTTATTCCCAACGCCAAAGAGCCGGAATCTCTCCGGAGCTCAGTAGGAGCCTGGAGAGGCCAGCGCGAAGGGATCTGCTGACTACAGTGGCACCTCTTCATCTCAGACGCTTCCCACGCCCTTCACTAATTGGCTCAGTGCCTGCTGGGGGCGCTGGTCAGTGCTGACGGGGACAGGAGAGTAGCACCTGCTGAATCGCAAACACCGGGTGGGTTGTCCTTGGGGTACTGCCACGCAAGCCCAGCCTGTCTCAGCTCCGGCGACGCAACAGCTGCAGGTGCTGTACTGGAGTGAAGGCACATGGCTCTTCCCAGGACATGCTGCAGCCACAAAGGGGGACATCTCACAGCCACGTCCCCTGGCTTGGGTTAAAGCTAATCCGGGCCTGGGCTGATCGAAAACACAGGGCCTCAGAACTGCGCTGGGAAGGGGGTGATGGCGCTGGGAAGGGGGTAATGCCACTGGGGACTAAATTAGCGTAGGGATTCGTCTCGGACAAAGGGCTGGGATCAGCTGGACTCTCCGATCCCACCGCCTTCACCAGCATGGGACCCCCTTCCTGCAGCCAGCATTGCTCCCTGCCACCCATAAGTGTGGGGCCTGATTCACCGCTGCCCGCACGTTGTGGAGCCTCCGGTGCCCGTGCACAGGGGGAGTAAAGCACCACCCCGGGGGAGAGCGCGTGGTGAGCTCTGCCTTGGGAGCCTTTGGCATTTACTTGGCCTAGGTGGGAAATGCCGGCACAAAGGGCAGGGCGGTGAAGATTCAGGGCCCTGGGCATTCCAGCGCCAGCTGGCGTGCACCCAAATGCTTTCCATGGTGCACGCTATGAGGTTCCCAGCCCGGCGGGATCTCCCAGCTCCTGCAGCAGAGCCGCTCCCATAGTGCCCTGCGCTGCCGCCGGGAGGTTTGGGAAGCAGCCGCGGCGTGTGGGATGGAGTTAGGAGAACTAGCTGACCCGGTGCACCTGCAAGGCCAGTGGCGTCTCATCCACGCTGAGTGCGGTGGACAGCACCAGTCTGACCCAGAGCAGAGCAAAATCCTGGCTCCCTGCTGTTGCAACCCACTTGTACGAGGCCTGGAGCAGCTGTGTGAGGAGCCAAGCCACTGCACAGCTGCAGGCTCGAGGCCTAACCTTCTGCAAGACTTGTTCATCACCCGAATGACCGCCCCCTTCCCCCACCTCCCCATGGCTTCCCTGCCACAACAGATCGCGGGCTGCCTGCAAGTGGATGTTGCAATGCAGCCCAGCTGTTAACTCAGTTGCAACACAAGCGCCTTCCTGTGTGAATGAAGGTCCAGCCCCTTCCTGTTGTGTGACATGTGGTAGAAGGGATCTCTCCTGTGACCCGCTGCGGAGCACCCAGGCCTGCTCAAACGTCGCCAGCCGCTGAACATGGGGGCTACGTTGAGGCCGGTCCTGCCTTGCCATCCATTCCACCGAGGCTCACGGGTCCGCTGCTGAGCAAAGAGATGCAATGCACCGCCGGGCATCAGTGGCACCTTGGTCTCCCCCAATAGGGGTATGTGGGTGGAATGGACTGGCCCGTGCTGCTATCCAAGAGCTCGGACCATATGATCTCATGGGCTGTTCTAGCTGCTCTCGTGTCCATCTTACGTTTATTCTCAGGCCTTCCAATCCCAACGTGCTTTCTACATCCGGGCCAAGGTTTTTAACCCCAGAGGCCTAAAGTCAGGCTCCTTGGTCCCTGTTGAGGCCCCTGGGTAAGTGGTCTGATTTGCAAAGGTGTTGAGCACCCTGCAGCTCCTACCGCAGTCAACTGGAGCTTCAGGGCATGCGGCACTTTGGGGTTTGCTAAAGCGC